CCGCCATGTTGTAATCTTCGCTTATGTAAATTTGAAAATAGAAATGGCCACCAATCCAATATCCCTCATCTGGCATAATTAACAAGATGAATTCATGAAGACAATGTGGATCTTTAAATGTGACTTTACAAGTTACTGGCAACGTCTGTTCCATTTCCTGTACCTAAGAAAAATAATTCAACATGAACTTAGTTAGAATTCATATGTTACATCGTCGTCGTGATACATAAGAAATATTATATCAAATTGACCTCTTTGATCAGTAATTTATCTCGTATTGAGACTCGCCTGTTGTAATTCTTTGAATTTGCTATGTCATTGTCCTTTTTGAGTTTTCCTCGTAACGTGATCATATTAAACTGCACTAAAAACTTTTATTCACAAGAAGATTAAAATTGTAGCTTTTATTTTTTAATTTATAAAAATATAATTATATATATATATGTATTAATATAATGTTATATAAAGTCTAAAATTATTTTAAATAGGATACAAAGTAGAATTTGTGTATAAAGCAAACACAATGTCAAGAATGTTATTATAAATTTGTAACAGAAAAAGAGGCCAAAAGATAAATGCAAATTATAACAATTTAACGTTCATAAGATGCAAAGTCATGATATATGTCGTAATCAAATTAAAGAAATATTACAACATCAAGAAATACCATTACAATCATTTATAAAAACATAATTAGGTTAGAAAAATAACACATGCTTTATTTGATAATGCAATGTACCTTTCGTTGCCAAATTTAATTAGCCTCGTTTGCGTATCACCTGAATCGCGTACATTAAAGCATGTGTAAAGGAGGTTTTTTCATTTCTGCTTATTTTCAATTATTTTATTGCGCAATGTAAATCTACGAGAAAAATTACAATCTTCGATATAACTACATATATAACTTGGCGTCATGAATCATATAAATGCTTTATCACATGACTTACACCAAATTTAGTCGTATTCACGAGTCGCGATGTGCGCATCATATCTAGATATCCATATATCGTGACCGTTAGTTTTTCAAAGAAATAAATAAAAAAATTATATTTATCCAAATGTTTTAGGCCCGATTGCACCAACGTTACTTTGATTTTAAGTGAGGTTTAAAACTCTTTCTGTCTCTATCTCTTTTTCGCTTTAAAACGAAACAGATAGAGTTTTAAGGCTCGCTTAAAGTCAAAGTGACATTGAGGCGTCGTCTACAATACACGGAGTAAGAAGTAAGAGTAAGAAATTGACCAATCACAGTCGTAAGGCCCGTCTACAATACACGGAGTAAGAAGTAAGAGTAAGAAATTGACCAATCACAGTCGAATGTGAGAAGAATAATCGA